TGTAATTAGCAGCATTATGAAATTTATTTTAAAAGGCTGGAGAGATGGCTTAGCAGTTAAGAACACGGGTTGCTCTTGCAGAGGACCTGGGTTCAATTCCCAGCATCCACATGGTGGCTAACAACCATCTATAACTCCAGTTCCAGGAGAATCTGATGTCCTTTCCTGTCCTCTGTGGGCATTTCATGACAGGGTGCACTTACATTCATGCAGGCAATTTACTCTCTCTCACACACACATACACACACACAAATAATTAATAAATAATTATTTTTTAAGTTTATAAAAGTCAGGTTTAGCAGTGCATGGTGGTACACCCCTTTAATCCCAGAACTCAGGAGGCTGAGGCTGGTGGATCTCTGTGAGGTAGAGGCCAGCCTGGTCTACATAGTGAGTTCCCAGCCATCTGGGGCTACAGGAAGACCCTGTCTCAGAAAATAAAAAATGAGGTTGATGTCAGGAAATGAAAACCACTGTAGATACTCCAGTCAAAGCATGGTTTTCTCTCACACAGCTCTTTGAATTCTTGCAAAATGTTTAGGAATTGTTTGTTTGAAGCAAATGGACGCTGGGACTCAAATTTGTAAGCTTCCAGAATTAGTAGATTTAAGGTGGTGCAGTGGGGTTGAGGGGAAGGTGGGAATTATTAGGGAAGTGGGTGTGACACTTGACACAAACTAGAGTCATCTGGGAAGAGGGAAGCTCAACTGAGGAATTTTCTCCATTGGATTAGCTTGTGACCATGTCTGGGAAGCATTTTCTTAATGGTTAATAGACAGAGGAGGGCCCAGCCTGCTGTGGCGGTGCCATCCATGAGCAGGCGGTCCTGGACTGTACAATAAAGGTATCTGAGCATGACAGGGGAAGCAAGTCAGTAAGTGGCATTTCTCCATAGTCTCAGCTTCAGTTCCTGCTTCCAGGCTCCTTCCTGCCTTGAGTTCCTGTCCAGCCTTCCCTCAGTGATGAACTGTGCCGTGGAAGTGTAAGCCAAGTAAACTCATTTCCTCCCCAAATTGGTTTTGGTCAGTGTTTATCTGAGTAATAGGGAGACCACTCTAGGACAGCAGGGATCGAAGAGGACGACACAGTTTCAAACTTCTGGTCAGCATAGCCTGGCAGAATTGAAGATTTTTTTTCTTGCCATCTCTGCTATGTTTATACTTTTCCTGCTCCTTAAAACATGAAGTCACTTAAAACAACTTACTGTGACATTATTTCAAACCTATAATTGCAAAAAAACCAAAAAAAGTACAAAAAAAAATCCATGCATGTTTTCCTCACCCAGATTTCACAACTGCTGACATTTTACATTTATCTTTCTTCCTTCAAATGTGCACATCCCTGTTATTTTCTTTCTCATGTAGACACACATCAAAGCCAGCCTGATCTACATAGCAAGTCCTGGGCCAGCTAGGGTTACAGGGAGACGCTGTCTCAAAAAGATTAAAAAAAATCACTTTTCTGTGGTTCTATTTCCCTCAAGGTTATCTTCTTCCAAAACCACAACACAGTGAACAAAATCATGAAATTTCCATGGACAAAATACTATCAAGTAATCCACAGACCTCAGATTTCAATTGTGCCAATCAGGTTAGCAAAAGAAGATCCCAGTCGGAGAACTACACTTGGCTGTCCTTCCCTGAATTCATGACCTGGAGCAGTTCTCTGTCCACTTCCTCTCTCAGAACACAATTTTAAAGATAGCAAACAAACAAACAAAACAACAGGTCAGTCATTCTGTTGTCCGTTGTTCAGCCTGGGGTTCATG